ATATATATATCCTTTTTTAGAAAAAAAAAATGTTTTCGTCTCGAGAGAAAAAAAGATCCCAACAATACATAAATGATCTGTACCTTTTAAAGTTAATGTCCCTTGACCAATTTACGAACAGGTGAACTGTGATTTAAGTTATAGTGTTACATAACAACAAATTGTCAGGTTATGTAAAGGAATCGTGTCAAACCAAAAGCCATCAGGTGACATTAACATCCTGTGTACACATGTTGTATTTCCAGAGTTTAGTTTTAGTGATATACAAAAGTTTTCGAAATGTACAAATAAATATTTTCTCTTTCCCGTGTACACTACCGAAGAAATATATATCATAAAAAACTTTAAGAAAATATGTATATTATGAAAAATTCTTCGATAAGTTGATTTTTGCCAAAAAAAAAAAATAATGTTCACACTCTTATTCAAATTTTATATTTAATAGATTTTTATATTTTTTAGAAAATTAAACGAGACTTCATTGTATATGATTTTTGTCATTTATTATTTAATTCAATGTTTTAAGCAAAATCCAGGCATTGGAAAAAAAACATCGATATTGAAATTTTAACTTGTGTACAAAAATATGTTATTATATACTTAGTAGTAAATACAGATAAATTGTATGTGTAATACAATCATTGGCAAGCTTGCTGTATCAGCCACCCGTGATGATATCGATATCAGCACGGTTGCAAAGGCTTTATCACACCTTTAATCTATATGACGTAACGTCATCGATTGCAGTCACTGTTGCAAAGGCTTTATCAAACCCCTAATCTGTATGACGTCATGTCAAACCTCTATTCTGTATGACGTCATTTCAACCCCCCTTATCTGTATGACGTCATGTCACATTAAACACATCTACGTAAGGTATATGTATATAATAAAGTGTATATGATATAGCTTTTTCAATATCACACACCGTATCAACCCTCAACCAATATAATTCCTCGAGCAGAGCTCTTGGGATTATATTGCTGTCTCGGGTTGATACGGATGTGATATTGAAAAAGCCATATGATATGCATAGATTATTACATGGCATTTTTCATATCAGACCCTTTATCGGCCCTAGGTCATGATATCAGCCCAAGAGCCGCAGGCTCGAGGGCTGATATCATGAACGAGGGCCGATAAAGGGTCTGATATGATAAATGACATGTAATTATCTTTTTATCATATACTTCAACAGAAGAAATACAGACAAGAACTATCAATTAAAATTTTGTCTTTCCATGAATTTTTAGATAATAATTTACAGACAACCAAATACAAATGTCTTAACTTTTATTGTTTTTATTGATATTACAAGCATTTTATTTATCTTGTCACAACAATTAACATGTTCTTAGTTTGAAATTTGCTCCTCAACCATTTTGTGAAAAGTCTTAAATCACTTGCGGTTTTCCGCACTGTGTTGTCGTTTTCGAACAAATTTCCGGAAATGCACGAAGTTGCATGTGATAAACGTCACGGAAATTAACGGAAAGGCATGTGATAACATTCCGGAAGCAGTCAATAAAGGTTCCTTTATCAGCCCGCTGAGGAAATTCTTAGGAATCTGGTCAATAAACCTAGTAATCCTTTCATAGCCTTTTAATATTTTTAAATGTTATTGAACAGTAAAATTTTAGTAATATTTTATACAAGTATATGATAATCTCTATTTATTGCATACATTTCATCACTGTATACCTTCCTATATTTATCGACAGAGTTATCGGTCCTGAATAGGACTGATATAGTTGGGTATGATTAAGATTCATAACCAGGTATAACCTGTGGTGGGCGAATTAGATTCATAACCAGATATAACCCGTGGTGAGTCAAAAAGATTCATAACCAGATATAACCCGTGGTGAGTCAATTAGATTCATAACCAGATATAACCTGTGGTGAGGCAATTAGATTCATAACCAGATATAACCTGTGGTTGGGCAATTAGATTTATAACCAGATATAACCTGTGGTGAGGCAATTAGATTCATAACCAGATATAACCTGTGGTGGGGCAATAAGATTCATAACCAGATATAACCTGTGGTGAGGCAATTAGATTCATAACCAGATATAACCTGTGGTTGGGCAATTAGATTCATAACCAGATATAACCTGTGGTGAGGCAATTAGATTCATAACCAGATATAACCTGTGGTGGGGCAATAAGATTCATAATCAGATATAACCTGTGGTGGGGCAATTAGATTCATTACCAGATATAACCTGTGGTAGGGCATACTGAGAGGGATACTTTTGACATTTTGGAGAACCTTTATGCTTCTATTGGAAATTGGTACAAATCCCCCATGCATTGGTTAACGTCTTAAAACAACTAAAAGCAGAGCTATTGGAATAAAATTGGTGTCTCGGGTTCATAAGGCTGTGATCAGTTTGAAATGTATCAATAATTTTATATTTCGGGAGAATTCTCTACATGGACTACCAAATAAGAAAAATTGGGATTCTAAATCCCCCAAAACGTTGAAGGTCGAAACAAAGAAAGAGAGACGAACCACCCTAAAAATAGTCTTTTCGCAATCTTGTTTCTTCTTCGTTTCATCTATAAAAGTCTTATGAAGGATGAAGCACCAAAAAATACCAGAAACTAACAGTGTATTTATCCAATTTATTGTGATTGAATTTTTAAACAATATTAATTAATATATATTATTTTTTGTGTATATATCCATATTTACATTGCTTCTTGAAACATGTTTTGCACAAAATATAGCTTTATTTCCAGACAATTGTTTTTAAGCTTTGCTAGTATTTTCATGAATCTCATACTTTGAGTTAATGCACACGCCATCTTCTTTGGAAGAGTTCTTGAAAAAAGTGATCTCAGAAATTTTTTCTTTTATCCTCCGTGGAGAATTCTAAAACAGAATTAAGAAAAAAGAAAATTACAATAATAAACATTTGAACTATTCAAAGCCATTTCAAATCAAATAAATTCTATGTAAGGCCACACCAATTTGATGTCTAGTTCTTCGGATGAAAGCTCCAAAAAATATTGGGCGAGTGAGCGAAATTTTTTGTTTTTATTTTTTTCTTGAAAATGAGGTTTTTTTTTTAGGCGAGTGCTCTACAAGTGAAGCGAGCGGTATAATTTTTTTAAATTGTGAGATTTAGAAGTTGTACAATTTATGTACATATTATAACTGGGTTACTTCATAGAAAAACAAGGGGCAACAGATTCTCTAATGCATACATTGTACAATTTGATTTATTGGTGCCTGTACCATACCAGACTTTCTTGTCTCACTGTGGTTTATATAATTTTGGTTATATTCTTCAAGTAAGCTTTGTCTGCGTGAATTTTCATTTACATCCATATATAAAGGAAGCATAGCAGATGCAGTTTTTAACAGGAAGTATGTTAGTTAGGGTAAAAGGCACGTGTTGAATAAAATCAAAATATGTGTATGTATAAAAAAATGCCCCTGAAAGACATTTGATAGAAGTTGTTTTCATTATATGGTAATGATTGTTTATTGGCTGCTTGACATCCAGTTGAAACTATTTATCCATATATAGGATCAAAATAGTGAGTGAGGTGAATATTACAACATCCTGAGCAAGATAGTTATATTGCTATACATGTAGATCCCTATGTATTAAATTATTCCCTTAAAATACCTGTCACCCCATTCACATGCATAATTCTGACTGATCAAAATACTCTTTCCTTTTGTTCCTAAAAGCTGCAATGCATTTAAAACTCTTTAGCTTCAAGTGGTTGAACCAATTACACACCCCTTATATGTATGAGCATGCAAATCACAATACCATCACCCTGGTCTCGTTGGATCTTTTTAAATTCCCCCCAACAAAAAAAAAGTTCTCCTTGCATGCCAAAAGACTAACAAGGGGATATGGGGTTTCATCAAAATCAAATACTTCTGTGATTTTTGAAAAAGTTCATGGGAATTTACAACTCATTTCATCCAAGATAGATTGGTATATGCCTGTTGAAGCAAGGATCGGGGATGACGATGGTTCTAAAAAATATTGATGTGTTTGTGGTCATCTAACGAAAGAATTTGAATTTGTGCATCCTAGAACAGGTCTTCAAAGGTAAAACGAGAAGCATTTGGGATAAATATGTGTTCAATAACTACTTGTTCACGGCAATTAGCTAACACAACTGCATGTTGACATCCCAATTTTGACCTTTTATTTACAAATTGTTTTATCTTACGTGCGTTTGTAACGATCGGAGCATTATATGCAACAGAAAAGCGTCTATGTGAAAAAAAATTTCAAGGAGAAACTAATTTTGGAGTGGCATGCGGGCCAAAACTTTGCGGAAGCGGTAATTTTTTTTTTTATTGAAAAGTCAATTTCTCCAAAACAGGAGCAAGAAAATCCAAAGACCTAGGAATCAAATTGGTGTGGCCTAAAGTAATAATTTTGCATCGATAATAATATTTAAAAAGGAAAGACATTTTCTGCTTTTTTAACCTTCTGTTAAAAAAACCCATCATAGATACCGGGATTAACATTTTGTACGCCAGACAAAAGACTGCAAAAGACTCATCAGTGACGCTCCAATAAAAAAAGTCAAACTGTAAAATAAAGTACGAAGTTGAAGAGCAACTTGTAGTCGCTTGAATAAAAAAAGTTAAAAAGGTAAAATAAAGTACGAAGTTGAAGATCTAGAGCAACTTGAAGTCGCTCGAATCAAAAAGGTTAAAAAACAAAATAAAGTACGAAGTTGAAGAGCAACTTATAGTCACCAGTTGTGTAATCGATATCAAACATTTACATTTTAATTTGGGCACGTTTTGTATTTGTACAAGTCAAGTTTATTCTGTTATTATTGCTATTGTTTTATTTGCTGTTTTTTTCTCTCTCAAATTTTGTATATATCCTGTCAGTCTCAACATACATAAAAGAAAAAGAATGACTATGGGATGAAAGTACAGTCCTTTTATGGTTGAATGCATTTTTTGGATATAACTAATAATAAATTATAATATAAACTATTTACCTCAATCAACCACATACCGGATCTGGTATTAGGGTGTGTACGTGCATAATATATCCAAACACCAAGTAAGACAACAATTATCACCAAAAATAAAACGATTGGAATAGCCACTACTGCAGAATCGGAACCTAAAGAAATAAAACTTACGTGAGCTGATGATAATCTAGTAGTAATCTGTTAAATAATTTTTCAAAAATTTATTTTCAAACTCCGACTTCCTCTTTCTCTATTTATCAGTCAAATTTAACTCTTATACAGTGATATGTACCATTGAAGGTTTCGGTTTTTCTGTTTACGTCCTTGTTGTTTTATGCTCTTCAAATGTATTAGTCTCGAGCATTATAAATGAAAGTTATTACTGAAACACAAGTTGTGCAAATGGAATTCGGTATTATGTCTATATTGCTTTAGCTGTGAAGGTGTGCTTCTTTAATTTTGTATTATTATGTTGTTTTGTGATAGAATGTCTCATTTGTAGTACACTATTTTATAAAGCTTCATCGCCCGTTATTATTTTCAATTCAGTGTACTTTTTAATGCATAAAAAAACTTATATAATAAGTCTTAGTGAAACATTAAAGTTCTGGTTACGTTATATTTTTTTTTTCAACTTACGAGCATTTCGTTCGATTCATTTTATTTCATGCATCAGACTTCTTTAAAATTTCATGTATGCATTATTCCTTGTCACTTCTTTTTCAAGCCAATAAATAAAATCAACAAAAAGAAAATTGAAGTTTGATAGAGATAGGCGAGACAAACTCATATTAGATTTCTCAAAAGAATATTAAAGAAAACTAGATAAAACACAATGTTATAATTGATCACGTGATTTTAAGTTTTGCATTTAGCTGTTATTTTCGGGACTAGTCCACAATCTTACTTCCACTTGAGCTCACTGCGTCACTTTTGGGTGGTTTCTAAAATAAGGAACAGAAGAAATATATATGAAGTAAAATAAAAACGAAGATGTTTTGATCGTTGATAGTAAATAAAAGGAAGAAAATATTGTCAATAAGCAAACCTTTTTTTAATTAAACATTAGAGGTAATATGTAATGAATGTGAATTAGCTTTAGAGCATATCTGTAATTTTCATGCCTAAGAACGATAATACTACTTCAACGAGAGAAGACAAACACATAATCTTCTGCCTCCTTTTTGCCCTCTATAAACCTAAAACATACAATAGTCAACTCGGGTTTCAAATAGGAGGGTAGAAAAAAGCTTTGTGATTTCTGTCTTTCACCATTTGCCCGTAAAACACTTTTTTAAGGTTTGCAGTTATTCTAGGCTTGATTTAAAAAGGAACGCAGTTTATAATGGTTTGGTTTTTGAAATTTAAATAGAAATTAAGATTTAAAATCAAACTAAAGAGTGGAAGGGTTTGTGTCGTGAAAAAAGATCTAATTCGTTGAACTACTGTGCGAAAGGCTCCATCAAGACACGATCATTTTGATGAAAAAAAAATGAAATCATAAGTTATGTTATTACGAGATATAAATAAGCGAACATAATTTTAGATGTAACAGTAAAATGAAATAGCTTAACCATATTACCAATGGTGCTGCTGTTGTTGTATGTAACATTCTCGTAATTGTTGGTTTTCTAGTTGTTGGCTTTGTAGTTGTTGGTTTTGTAGTTGTTGTAAGTTTTATCGTTGGTGTAGGTGAGGTTGTTGTTGTTGGTATCGTGCATTGATCCAATGTATCAAAGCCCTGGGTAATCATAAATTGAAAACTTATAAAAATTACTATTCATAAAAAAAACTCCATTAAGAACACATTTTAGTAAAATTGAGAATGGAAATGGGGAATGTTTCAAAGAGACAACAACCCGACCAAAGAGCAGAAAACAACCCAAGGTCACAAATGGGTCTTCAACACAGCAAGAAAATCCCGCACCCGGAGGCGGGCTTCAGCAGGCCCCTAAACAAAAATGTGTAACAGTTCACTGAAAATGGACGTCACCATAAATCCAAAAAATATAAATGAACTTAAATTTAAAAAAAAAAACATACAAGACTAACAAAGGTCAGAGGCTCCTGACTTGGGACAGGCGCAAAAATGCGGCGGGGTTAAACATGTTTTGTGAGATCTCAACCCTCCCCTATACCTTTAGCCAATGTAGAATAAACAAACACACAGCAATACGCACAGTAAATCTCAGTTTAAAAGAAGTCCGAGTCAGATGTCAGAATATGTAACAGAAGAAACTAAGCAAATGACAATGATACATAAATTAACAAGGAATACTAGCAGTTACTGACATGCCAACTCCAGACCTCAATTAAACCGATTGACAGATTATGTCTTCATCATATGAAAATCAAGCACAATCCCTCCCGTTGGGGGTTTAGTATCATACCATCATAAAATATATGAGAAGAACATAACCCGTATCATGCCAACAACTGGTTTTAGAATAAATGTGTTTATTTCCGAAGCAAAGATCCTATGAGAAAATATGCCATCTTTAATGACCTGACAACAGTACCGTAACTATATCCCTTCTGAATAAGTCTGTTTAAAGGTTAGGTTAGCTTTAGAGGTGAATGACGACATGTTTGTGCTTTGTATAGAATATTACTATAAAAGATTGGATGTGAAATACCTAAACGTATAAGATGTCTGCATGTTGATTTATGTTTACGAATGATGTCCTTGTACCGATGATAAAATTTAGTAAATGTTTTGACTAGTTTGTGATATCGAAAACCCTGGTGGAATAATTTTCAGCAATACAGAGATTAAAATCAAATACGTTGTTACATACACGAACGAATCGAACAAATTAAGATATATAAACACCATAAGATGGTGACAAGGGAACGTCACCATCTAAAAATGTTTGTAAGTTTATACCCATGATTGGATGACTGTTTATTAGAAAGCAAAATGTCCTTCCTCTATATTGCACCCGCATTATACGTAAATCAGTTGGTATGTCTGGAAAGAGGGTACTACTACGGAGAGGTGATCATAATAAACACCACCCCTCCATATGGAAAACAAAATAATCATTTTGAAACGGAAACAAGGCTGTACTAACTATCTGTTCTCTTTGTCTGAACCCCCGCCCAAAACACTGTTGAATAGACAGTTTGTATTTCTTCCAGGTTTGATTCTTATTATGTACATTTGATAATGACATTGCTTTATCTTTTTTAATTATCCAATATGATATGATAGTTTGGTTTTTACACAAGTATACGAATTGTTTATCTTTTAACGATATAATTTTGTCATTTCAGTGTTACGGTACAAGTGTTTTAAAACTTACATTAGTTACACAGCCAGTAGTTGACCATTCCTGCATATGCCTGTCTATTCCATCAGAACATCTTGATACTGCATGACACCAAGAACAATTAAACCCAATGTTCAGTGATGTACAGTCTTCACATGTTGTTGCTTTATTACAAGCTGAAAAATAGTTCATATCAAATCGAAACGATTGTTATTAAACTTTAGTAGTTAAATGTGGGAATAATCAAACGTCGTAAGTACAATATTTCTTTTTTAAAAAAAAGATGTATGTGAGGTTATGAAAATGATGTTTTCACTGTTTTTTGTATTGAATATACATTGGATTTTAGTATAATTGAATATTATAACTTTCAATTGTTTAACTATGCGACCAACACGAATTTGTTTTAATCAATAAACGCACTATTATACTACTGTCCAATTAAAAATAATGAAAATGACACTTTATTCCCAAAGTTCACGAATGTTTAAGATTGGCCCTAAAAAATTGATGATTTCAAATCAGGCCAAAATTCTACAAATTTCACATAGACATAGCTGTGATATAACTATTAATACAAACTAACGTCTGTTTGGCACATCGCATTAAAATGTCGAAGAAATGACTCCTCAAGTATGCATTATTTCTAACATAATTCACCTTGGCGGCCACCCCTGCTCTAGAAAATGTGTGTGTCTAGGCAGTTGTTATCTACAGTCCGTTTCTATGTATTTTGGTGTCTGCTTTTGTTGTAGTTCAGTGTTTCTGTTGTTCCGTTGTTTTCCTCTTATAGTTGATGTGTTTCCCTCGGTTTTAGCTTGTTACCCGGGTTTGTTTTTGCTTAATCGAATTGTGACTATTGACCAGCGATATACTACTGCTGCCTTTATTTAATGATTCAATATTTTATGATTGGCAACTTTTGGCTACATAACATGTTGGGTCCCAGGTTGCGGCCAAGGGTTCCTTTCCTTAAGCATTTAGATCCAAAAAAATTACAAAATATCCAAAATGTACTGACCTTAAAGCCTAGAATGTAGTCTAATGAAGAGATTTGTTTAACCTTGTAGTAAGGCTTTTGAAATAGATCCATTTAAAAACCAAATTGTGGTTGAATTTCAAGGCTATATTTGCCCGACGGTGAATTTTGTCTTTTGCTGCTTCTGAAGCACTTTTCTGACAATAGTTTTGTTAAAGTTACACTGCTAATTCAAGATTTAAAGAAGAGACTACAAAGAAAAATCGTGAAATCCAGTTCAATCTTGAAAAGCTCAAAATTTAAACAAACAAAAAAATCAGAAATTTATATTTTAACTGAGATGTTGTAGAAATAAAAAATAAATAAATATTCAAACATCATAAGACTAGAACATGACATCGTAAAAGGTAAAAAAACATATAAAAGGATTTCTCATTTCCAGAGGTTGGCAACTATGACAAAAGCACCGAATTAGAAAGCCGATCAGAACATATACATTCTGTCTTTGTACAGATAGTTCTTGAATCGAATCAGATAAAGAACAAATTTACCGAAGGGTGTTAAGCAAGTACGTTATAATAAAGAAAAACAGCAAACAGTTTTAATAGAGATAATGGTTGCTCTATCATTGCATATAAAGACCGGTAGGTATTTCACAATGTATACATTTGAACTCTGGTGGATAGTTGCCTCATTGGTAATCATACCACATCGGCCTTCTTTTTATAATAATAGTACAGCTCTATCTACAAACCATCGTCCATATATAGATATAAGAAGATGTGGTATAAGTGCCAATGAGACAACTCTCCATCCAAGTCAAAGTATAAAAAAGTAAACCATAATAGGTCAAAGTACGGTCTTCAACACGGAGCCTTGGCTCCCACCGAACAGTAAGCTATAAAGGGCCCCAAAAATTACTAGTGTAAAACCATTCAAACAGGAAAACCAACGGTCTAATCTATATAAAAAACGAGAAACGAGAAACACTTATGAACCACATCAACAAACGACAACTACTGAACATCAGATTCCTGACTTAGGACAGGTGCAAACAAATGCAGCGAGTTTAAACGTTTTAATGGTACCAAACCTTCACCCTTTTTTTGAAACAATAGTGTAACATCACAACATAGAAAGACACACTATAAAATATCAACTGAAATAGCTTAACTCAATCAAAGGACATATTAACACCAGTGAACATACACTGAACAAATAAATTGACCTACGATACAATGTAAATACAAAATAAATAAACTAAGGGAACAATAATAAAAGTAACATGTTATATCGGTATGAAATGTTAAACAAATTAAGAAAAACAATATGCTCAGACAAAAATATCAGCCATTTGCAATAACTTAAAACACAGGTAAATGAAAATAATTTTGTTGTTAGGTATACGCGTACAGTTCCAATAGAGAAAGGAAATATTTTTACATATGCACACTTGAGAAATAAGGAGAGCGGAAATTAAAATAATAAGTTCTACTTCAATTGTTAGAATATGATTATTATAACTCATCTCAGACTTACTCGGCAAAGGATCCAACACAACAACAGTGTTATCACCAAGATCAGTCACATTTAATGTTATGTTATGGTATCTAACTATATATCTTATGTATCCAACTGAAATAAAACACGCACTGATTATTTATGAGTACTCTTTTTTTGTTTACTCTAAACATAATTTTGATCACGAATATTATTGTACCTGGTATTTTTCAAATTTTAAATAAATACAACATTAGACAGTTTCATACCATGAAAAAAAAAGAATTTATATAAACGTTCAAATCTTAGAGGATACCGGAATTTACCGCAATGCATAGTTTTTAACACTGTACAGTAAGGTTTTATTTATGCTTATTTCAAATTTATTGAAATGAATATATTAATTGAGAACAATGGTCAACAATTGTTGCCTCTAATTTATACATGTAATTGATAAGCCTGGCATCTTTGATATGTTTTACCAGCCCAGTAGCCAGTACTTTGGTATTGGCATGAAAAGACGGATTGTTGTTATTAAAATTTGCTGTTATGAAATTTTAGAAATTATTTTAAATTAAGGAATATATCTCCCTCATGCAAAGCTCTGATTCCTTGCCCAGCTTTGACTATAATTTTTTTGTCCTTTTCGGATTATAGCTCTTCATCTTTTTAATAAGCTTTAGATTTTCAAATATTTTGGTCTCGGGCATCACTGAAGAGACATTTATTGTCGAAATGCGCATCTGGTGCAGAAAAATTGGTACTGTTATTAAAAAAGACATGTTACTGAACAGTCGCAATTAAAAGTTGGTGAATATTTATTATATGCCTTATTATTAATAAATTCTGTGAGAATAACAAATGAGGCCAAAAACTATTAGATTGGCAGTGTAAAAGATACAACGTTTAATAATATTTTTCGTGCTTTTATGGTCTAAAATAATAGTAGACTAGTCCAATAAGTCTATATGAACTTTTCTGGTAAAAAAAAAGCTCAAAACACATGCGGAAGACTAACGCGACCATACATGCATGCAGTATTCCAAATACTTACAAAATAAATCTCGATCATAATAGTAAGCGTCTGATATACCAACTTTAACCGGCCAAATCTGACCAGAAATATTCGTATCTGGAATCTGTAATAGGTACGTACTTTTGTTTTGATTGATCTTGACTCTAATTAAATAGATACATAATCAAAACAGATTATTCTTACAAAAATTGTACAGAAGAATTGTATTGTGAAACATTTGAATAATGAAAGAATGGAATCAACCAAAATCAGCAAAGCAATTATGTTCTTAAGCAATCTTAATTCCTCTGTCAGTCCTTACAATAATTACAAAGCTTTTCTTTGTACACTCGAGGCTAGACTTCGAAACTCACTAAACACTTGTTTTGGTATAGTTATTAAGTTAGAACGGGTTTTTTTTTTATTCATGAAACCAGTCCTTTAAATACAGGGCCAAGGATCATCGCATATATTGTTATTCTGGTCTCAAAATCACAGTGAAGACTTCAATCCGGGACAAAAACACAAACCTCAGTTCAAGTTCTAGACGATCCCTTGCACCAGTTTGAGAGTAATTTATCTTGGCTGGAAGAAGATAACGCTACATATGCGCATTGAAGCACACCAAAAGAAATAGCTGCATTAGCAATGGATCAAAACAAAAAAGTTTTCGCAAGAACAAATACACCATTTTTGTAAAAGCATGAGAGCATATTATATCTCAAGAAAGGAAACATTTCTACAGCCTCCAAACAGCATGAGAAGCAAACTCAGTATAATGGAAAATAAGGGATATTACACAAATCCCTACACCCATTTAACAAAAGTATGTTTGTAATCAAGAATATGCAGTTACTGTATTGTATTTTAATGTGTTTTGGCAAAGAGCTTCAGTTAATTTCTAAAGTTTTGCTTTGATATATCTATATACACATGCAATGAAAGCAAATGTTATTAAAGGTTTCATATAAAAACTTACTGATTTATATGCTAACAATATTGTACCATTTTCAAAAAGTGTTGCCTGGTAGGTGTAAGCGCCTTCTATGAAGTAAAATATGGTTGAAATATAATTGACAAAAAAGTCAATATTTTTTAAAACTTCGTTTGATGGATACAGTTTAATATAAGATTTGAATGCAGAATTACAATTTTAATCTTGATTGATTAACCCGTTGTTCACCATGGTGACGCGTGCCCCAAATTTAAATTAGTTTTACTTCGTCGTGCAAGTTTCTACCAGATCTTCTCTTAAAGTCATATGATCCTTCAAATGTAACAAAAAAGATGAATATGTTTTATATACTTGAATAGCTAAGCTTTACTATAAAACACGTGTACATAGACTTTATTTTAAAAGAAAATGGTTCAAAAACTTCGACTTCAAAACCCGAAAGTTAATTAGCAGCAATGACCGAATAAAATATTTTTTGTCGATTACAATTTATATGTTATGCCTTCGTAAAAAATGTACAAACCGCTCATACAGAACGAAGTTTAGTATATACGCATACAATGGTTCAATAATTTCCTAAACATTAGATAGTCACCAGAAACTTTAAAGGTTTGATATTTCATGACAATAGAAGTTATATGTAATCGAAACCATTGGTCTATATATAAAAATGTGTTGTTGTTTACATATCCAAAAAATGTGTCATTTAGATAAAAGTTATATGTTTTGATCATGCAAATTAGAGACTTTCTTTCCTGCAGATAGTACTTTAGTAATGATAATTGCCCACTCCCCCCCCCCCAAAAAAAAAAAACAACCCCAATCATGCCAATTGGAAACATATAAATCACCCCGATTTTTTTTAATTTCTAAAATTTTGTAACATGTATAATTACGTACTCTCAGGTTGGTCATTTAGTTCAACATTTCTCCATTCTACAACAAAACTGTGTCCTACAATTATAACATTAATGATTAATTTATCAGGTCAATTTCAAACTAGTACATGTAATCGTACAGGAATGAAGATCAAACGTACATTTATCATTACTGAATCTAAAACACGTTTTTTTAATAGTAAAAGTATATGGTATATGGCCCTATTACCGAAATTGAGGACTTTTTAAATTCGTTATTACGAAATTTTTAATTCGTTAAAATATGTGTAATGTATTATGATTTTTTTTTATTCCTAATTACCTTTTTTCAAATAGTGACCATGATTTAAATCTTTAGATAACACGTTTTTAGAATTAAGTTTTTACTGAATTCTTAGAATTTCATCATAACGAATTAAAAATTATCATGTTCTCAACAGTTTATAAGAAAGGATTTCTCTTATTATAATCAGAATTATTACAGATTCAATTTATAATGAGGTATTTTGAATTTATGAATATTAGAAAATCGAAATTGTCTAATCAAATATTTAGAATTCGCAGCAACGGATGTACAAAATCTTGTATACCACTTACTCCCTACATAACTAGTAATAGAGTTCCAGGTGCCTAAAAAGAATTTGTCATTTTGTTATAACAGACTTTATTCGCTATAACGAATTTGTAAACCATTTGAAAAAAAAATGTAGAGAATTATTTTTTGACAGATTGTAAAGTAAGTTATTATACAACCTAGACTGAAAAGGAAATGATTTATTTGAAGAAAAAAACTGCCCACTTTAATTGTTCAGTTTCAACATTTAATTTTGCAAGTGGAAGACATTTTGAAATACGTTATAATTATATAAATTTTAGACAACATTTGACACTCAAATTTATATTGTCCCTTATTGTTCTTGAATTTGAATAATCCATCTTCATTTAGTTGATAATTTCTAAAATTTTATCAGTTGGCCTGTACACGCCAGTAAACTTACCATTATCCTTATACAGAATTTGTGAGTCATTTCCAATGGTATCAAAGTTCCCCATTAACGGTGCAATATAATGGGTAAAAGTCCAGTCTAAATCAGGATGGGTAAAATTACTCATATAAAGAAAACCTGAAAAAACACAATATGTAAATATGTCTTTCAAAAAGTGTCAGTCTTTCTAAGAATCAGGCAGTGGTGAAAACATGCTAAACAAAAACCCGCTCAACTTTACATTAATGTAATATCAAAATGTATATTGATGGACGAATATAACATTCGTTTCCTTGTCCTGTTCTGGTATTTCTAGTTATAATTTGGTTGAAATGATCTAGAAATTAACAATTAAGGGGAACTCACTCCGTAATTTGCTATCAATCTTACCAAAAGTTATCTAGAGATATCTCGAATTACCAGACACGCAGAAACAAAAGACCTACCATTTCCAACTCAGGATGAGGGCGACTTCAAAATATGATGGCTAGGTCGGCGGGTTTTTTCCTACCATGTTTTGGTATTCTTCTAATTTGCCTCATTCTTACAAAGACTGGCACTTAAATGCAAGTCAATGTTTTTAAAGTTTATTTAAAAAAATGATACGATGCTATTATTAAAGATGGGTACTTGACACCCACTAAGCAGTTACTATACTTTAACCATAAACAGAACGACTTGGAAAAAAAAAGAAATATGGGGTATACGTCAATCAGAAAGTAACTTCTGAAACCAAAAGACATCTTGATTGTTGGACGCGTTAAGCAACAATTAATTATTTACAATATGTTTTCCCCCACCAGAATATATATGTCTTTTTTCTTTAGCCATGGTGTAGCCTGTTTTTCTTCGATTTATGTTTTTTTTTATCTCCCTTTCATCTTCTTTATTAACAAAACGTCAACTGGAACTATTTTGTGCAGGACTCATCGACTAGACGATTAATTTTGATTCACTTGAGCAAATGGTCAATGAGAGCTGTTGCTATTATTTTGCATCTTTCGTCGATTGTTGTCTATCATCTTCTTTTATTTTTTCTCATTTTCATCTTCCTTGTGTTACTGTATGAAATCGTCTATTAAGTACAGTCATTGATATTAGAGTGTTGGATGACATGATTTTATATTATAAGGTTAAATACTTTCACCTTGATTTTAGTAACTGGGAGCATATTGATATATATGACATTGTCATTTATTGTGTTGTTAGTATTTGTATAATTGTTATCTATTACATGATTTTAGATCTCTGATGGTCTATTTTATCCCCTCTTTTTCAAGACTCAGGATGATAAGGACCGTGTGTTGACCTTTAAAAGTTTTTTCGTTTGGTTTCTGTCTGTTTGACATCTCCCCCTTATCTCTCATTCGTATTTGTATAATCTTACCTTGTGTTGTGATTGCAAATCTATTAATCGGGTGTCCATAAAAGGGAAACTGGAATGACATTATAACAAACTGAAAAAAAAAAAAACAATACCAAACTTTTAATATAAGAACAAATGTATTTTAGTCGAATGCTTTCTTGTAATTCGAACTGCTATCAAAACTGGGATTTTTAAAATATCCATATCGAACATAAAATTTCACATCAATACCGTCCATAGTAACAACTTTTCATTTTGAATAAATTTTAAATAAAAGAAGTAAATATACGTTAAAACAATACTTCTTCAAAATGTTCTTGTTACAAAATGATTTGAATGAAGGTTTTGTTTCTACCAGAATGATAGTGCATAATTTGTAATAATAAAGCGAATAAAATTATTAAAACTTACCAACACACTTAATGTTCATTTATTTAATACTTATATTACCGAATATCGAAGATGATGGTCATTAGATAGAATATGTTTCGTGTGTCCTTCCAGTTCATTCCAGTAGGCGCCATCTGGATCTGATATAATTTTAGATGTGTAATAAGCATGGTCATCTGAAATCTGAATAACAATATGTTTACAGCTTAGTTAATTTGCAATATTGGTAGTGACATTTATTCTGATTATTATTCTTCATTTCATTAAAACATACAACTTAGAAAAATTCCATTTCTGCTTAATTAACAAAAATACTGAAATAGCAGAAAAAAAGAAGCAAATAGATTGATACGTGATTAATTTAAAACACGATTTATCCCATACATTAAACAAAAGGAAGGGTTTGCTATTGTCATTAAAATGGTAGAGTGTTGTTGTTCCGTAATACATTTGCACTGGTCCATTAATCGATTCTTAAAGCTGACAATTCTTAACAGAAATATAGTATGTAGAAGTGCCTGATAAAGGTAATTCCAGATACACGAAAACAGATATAACACGATATTTTTTCTATTGGTACTTAACATACTATTAGTATAAAGGGAAATGGGAATTACAAGAAATAAAGAAACCAGACAAGCAAATTTGGTTTCATCCTCACATTTGCAATGGAACAAAACGGGTCGAACCACCTCTGAGCATAGTTGGTGAAAACACAAAGAGAATCCAAATATCAAATGGATCATTTCCATTACCAAAAGAAAGATAACTACACAAGATATTACATCCCAAAGCTAATGTCTCTCGACCTATCACATCATCTTACAATGAAATATTTTAAGCGTGTGTATGTATTCTCAGCGTGGAAGCCTTATGCGACTTCTGGCGCGGAGAGAATTAAGGTTAAGGTAAGGTATGTATTCTTGCTTGTGTCCTAAATTTGGAAAGGTTAAAGTGATAAATTGAATGCATAGTTTGTAATTGATATGGACTTTGAATTAAATATGAATTTTTTTTTGATGTCTAAAGGGAAATGTGAGAAAACACAGAAAAAATATGGAACGGCAAACGTTTTTGTTATCCTAGGTGTGCTGGAGTCTTTGGCACACCCCATTATTAATCTCTTTCTGACTTAAGTCGTCACCCTATCAAATTGTCAAAAAGTTGAATGCTGTATTTTACAACAGGCGATGATAAACTATGGCAAACTTATATTTACCAATAGACGATACTTTCTGTAGTCGTATATAAACGAAAGCAAGCACAATGATTATCTTGATTCCTTTTTAGACAGCAGAAATAAACAAAGAAATAAGTGTTTGTTTTACTTTTATTTACCGTTGTTTCGTTCTCTGGAGGTCTTGTTTGTCTTTTTACGATTTCATGCTCCTTGTATATAACCTGTCTACGATCCTGCTTTATTGACGAAACACACGATACTGCAAAAAATAACGAGTTTTTTCTTGAAATTCTGCCAAAGTTATTTAAAAACTCCATTTAATAAAGGGAAAATGACCTGCTTTGTGTTCAAAAAGCAGGTAAATAAACATTCAATGTGCACATATGTAAAATGTTGTTCATATCTGTTGAACTTTCTTTTTTTTTTTTAATTGCATGTACACATCGTTATTGTTACTAATATGCTAGGCTTACATTTTTTCTAATGTTTGCAATTATAACTGGAAGTAAAATATATTATCTATTAACGTGAATAATAGATTGGTTGTTAAACGCTCAGTAGTGACCGAGCACCTAATACCGGCTTGGTTTATACAAAAACACGAAAACAATCAACCGATCTGAAAAATTAACTTTTGGAAAGAAATGGACACGAAATTATTACCGGACTTGAAAATGACCTGGGGAATGTTTGTTAGTTTCACAAATTTTGTCTGATCAAAATGATGTTTACATTATTCTCTTGATAAGATTTTGCAACGACTCATTAAAATTTGGGTTTATATTTGTAAGACCCATCACCGACTAGACGTAAGGTTAGAATGGTTCTGTCTAACCAAACTTCTGAAAGAGTTTCATAAAACGTATACTCTACATCGTTATTGTTAAATGAATATATCCTGTTTCACTATAGATATAGGTCATTCTATCGTAGAGTTTGCTGTATACTTACATGCTACACCATAGAAAATATAAAACGAAAGGTACTCCATATGTCATGTACAACAAATAATCAAATTTGATAAGGAATGCCCTGTAATTAAATATTCACAGTAGAAACCATTTCGTGTAAAACTTCCTAGTCAAAAAATAAATCTGTTGAACGCAACAAAAGATTTATTTACGTTTCACGGGTATTGCGTATTGTATATGCATAATTTTTAAAGTCAATTATTATTTCTTCCTGTATTAAATAGGTAAATATTAAAGACATATGGGACACACATATATATCACATGCATCAAGTATCCTTGTTTGATGAGTTTTCAGGCAACAATAATATGTTATTTCAATAACGTTTGATGTTTTTGTAATAACAATAACAGCAGACACATGTCAATTGCGTACTGTTATTTATTTTTAAATAAAAAAGACTTCCCCTTTTAAATTTTCTATTTAAGAGTACATGTACCCCCCTTTTTTAAGGATGTTTTGAATTATTAATGTATATTCATATTATTTCTTATATAATTTGATTTGAACATATATCCACTTGTAACAGATATCAGTAAATTTCAGGTTTATACTTGATAAAATTCAACCATTTTTATTCGCATTTTCTACAAACAGTAAAGATAAAAATAAGAAGATGTGGTATGATTACCAATAAGACAACTCTCCACCAGAGACCAAATGAGGTAGAAGGTTAGCAACTATAGGTCACCGTACGACCTTCAACGACGAGCTAAACTTATACTGCATAGCAAGCTATAAAAGGACCTGAAATGACAAATGTAGAACAATTCAAACAAGAAAACTAACGACCTGATTTATGTACAAAACAATAAACAAAAAACAAATATGATATTCAGCAACACACGACAACAACTGATTTACAGGCCCCTGACTTGGGACAAACACATACAAAATGTGGCGGGGTTCTAACATGTTTTTGGACGCACCAACGCTCCCCTAACCTTACAGTGGTGTAACAGCAAAACATAAGAACAAACTATTAAAACCAGTTCGAGAAGGACTTTAATCATCAGATCGATACAAAGCATAAAAACAACTAACAAAAACACAAAAGACACAAATTATAGATCTGAGAGTACTCGCAGGTACTAAAGGCTAGTTCAAAGCCAATAACAACCAATATAAAAATCATGAATCTAAGAATAAAATATCAATCAGTACACATCCAACTTCCAATGGATTTAGTGTAAAGACTTCATTAACAGTCAGAGAAAAACAGGACCTTGTGAAATGACAAAATATAGGTAGGGATTCCGGTTAAGTTAAGTGGACATATCCTAGGTCATGTCTGACACACATATTCCACAACGGTCGACCAAATATAGGTACATTGATTAATCATAAATATTTGCATAGACTAAATACAATGCTGCGGGTGTTATGTATAGAGAATACATGACAAATGTGGTGTATACGTCAATGAGACAGCAACGAAACAAAACAAAAAATCCGGAAGCAATTCACGGGTTTACATGCAACATTCAAAGGATTACAAATATCTAGATCGTTTGTAAAGCTCTAAATCTCTGTGTATCTAAACAAGTGTCCATATAATATACAAAGCTCTTAAAATTAAAGTAGGGAAATGCCCAACTTACTTGCAGATTACTTATGCTCTTATGAATCATAATACGGTCGTTTATAGATTTTTAAGAATGCATCATATTTTATCTCCTTAATCGAGAATAACTATGTTCTCATTATCTTTTTTCACGGCCACTATTAAAGACTGGAATAATTTACCGGACGGTATCAAATCTCTTTCCGTATTAAAGGGTCAACTTACTGACTTCTATGCTGTTCCACTTGTTCCTAAATATTTCTCCTTCGGTGCTGGAGCTGGGGAAATTTATCATACCAGATTTCGCTTCAGACTAAGCGGGTTAAATTGTCATCTCTTCAAATATAATCGGATGCATTATTGAATCTGTAATCGACGTTATAGTGTCATTCCAGAAACCATGTTTCACTTTTGACTTTTTTGTCCCTATTACTAGTATAATGATATTAGAATTATCATGTATTACAAATCACAAAGGCTTATTTGTTCTCGTGTAAATTTTATTGTCCAGACTATGTAACTAAAAACATGTGTCCAGGTTATATATAAAGCTCTTAATCGCTCCAAGAGAAGACAAATTTCTAGATCATATGTAAAGCTCTCTTAACCCATCTGCATGTAAGTCATATGAAAAGCTCTTAACCCCTTCGTGACTAGATCATATGCAAAGCTCTTAACCCACCTGTATTTAAATCATATGTAAAGCTCTAAACCCCTCCGTGTCTAGATCATATGCAAAACTCTTAACCAATCTGCATGTAAATCATATGTAAAGCTATAAACCCCTCCATGTCTAGAAAATATGTAAAGCTCTTAACCGATCTACATGTAAATAAAATGTAAAGCTATAAACCCTTCCAAGTCTAGAAAATATGTAAAACTTATATATCCTCAGTGTCTAGATCATATGTAAAGATCTTAACCAATCTGCCTGTAATTCAAATATAAAGCTCCCAATCCCTCAGTGTCTAGATCATATGTAAAACTCTTAACAGCCTTGTATCTAGATTAGTAGTGAAGAAATTTATCAGAAACTATGAAAAATCTGAAATTAACACTGACATCCATATAGGACAAAACATCAAGAAAAAGCTAAAGACATGCACTTACGACGCTCCGAACTTTTGATAGACAGAAACATCATCCTATTCCTTTGGTCTCTGATGGATAGTTTTCTCATTGCCAATTATACCACATCTCATTATTTACATTAACACCTGGCAAGGTTTATCCGATGGTTAAACTAGTTTTCGACCAACCAATCCTCCTCCTTTTCCCCCTAAAAAATTCTGATTTCGTAATGTTTTAGATATTTAAAAATGACATAAAATCAAAGCTTTACAATATATATACTTTAGTGTTTATATATCAAAGTTTACAGTACATAAACACACTTAAAAGACTGAAATCCGAATACATCTTATATTATCTAAATATTTTAAATCCGGTAAAAAAATAAACATGAAAATTATAACGGGTGCACATGTCCTTTATCATTATGTTTAAAAACGTGACTTCAGTTTTATAGTAAAACATTTTTATTAAGTTTTTATCATAAAAATATTGGTTTGATTACAAAATTGTTTTGCTAAAAAAAATCCGTTACGTTTTAGCTTGATAAATAGTTAGATGTAAAATAACCAAACGTTTTCTCTAATTATTCCTTGTTTAATTTTTGATTCAATAAAATAATATCACCAAATTAGCGTTATTTCATATAAAGTCACATTTGTGATGCGTGATTTCCAACCCTTTCATTTTAGTAGTGCAGAAATGTCTGCAAAAATGTCAACTGATATTTAAAATTAACTTACCGGGTTACCCGTAAGTAGATTGAACAAACATTTCAACTTTCTGTTTCAGTAATATGACAGAAAAGTCTGTTCACTTCAAGTGTCATTAATTTGTTTATAAATCCAATAAATATAGAAACAAGAATGCTATCTTTATATGGGGAATGTCGTGTTTTTACATAGAACAATTTGTTTCACAATGAAAGGTATGGCATATCTAACACAACACTACATGTGTAGTACTACTTTGGTTTATGTACTATTTACTTTGTTTCCTATTGGAAATAAACTATTCCGCCAAGCAATTGATATTATGATTGATACTAACTGTGCCCCTCGTATAGCAGATTTATTTATTTACTTGTATGAATCTCAATTCTACCACTTGATAGATATTTTTTGAAACAATACCTGCAGATATTCAGACGATATATTCTCTGTAAATAATCCAAATTTGCCTATATATTCAAATAAGATTTATTCACCTCATCTCATTCTTAGTAAATCAAATCTTACTAGATACCTTTTCAAGATCTCGATGTTAGAATTTCTTACGGTAATTTTCATACCAAAATTATTGATAAACGAGACAACGTTTCCTTTCCTATTGTTTGTTTTCCTTTCCTTGATCGCGAAGTTCAGTTGGCTCCTTCTTACTGTATGTTCACTTCGCAGTTGTGTATGCTGTTGTAGCTGGTGCAATACTAAAATGTATCCTTTTTTTAATTAAATTTTGTTCGATTTGTTCTTGGCATTGCAACAGTAAATGTCTCCCTGTACTGTTTATGAAGTACTTCAACAACCAATATCATTAGTTACAGTTTGGTAGTGACCTTATACGATATATATGGGGTCAGTAAATTCCATATGGGGTGAGAGCTTCGTACTAGCACACTGTGTAACGAATTTATCTTACCGACTATCTTAACATGTGGTATTTAGACCAGTGGCCTATCAAAGTGATCAAGTCTTCAATATAAAGAACCTACTTCCATTGGTCTATACAAAAACAAATGCCAACAATAACAACTTGTTAGCTTTTAATGTGTTTTATGAATTTATTTTAATCGTTTATCATCATTTTTTTTATCTGTTGTTCGTGTTAAATTCAGATTTTTCTTCAACGCCGTGTTGTTTTCATAAAGGGACGTAACACCACTACTAACCGTGTATTAAAATAAACCACGCCTACTCACCCCATATGAAATATACAGGGTCTCCACGCGGTCGCTTTTAACCAATAATATTCCTAGAAATGTTTAGGAGGTAAGATAATAAAGTGTATAGGATGGTATGATATCATACCAGCAGGTTAAGTACTTTGAACTTAACCAGAAAAGATGTGGATTGGTTTTCTAGAGATTATCATCTGCAAGTTAAGTCATTTTGATAGAAATTTCACAATTCATCAATTTGATAATTTTATTTTAACTAAGGTATGATCCTTACCATAATCTTCGTTTCCAAAACAAAAATAATGTGTGAATATTGTCGGAGGATTTAAAAAATAATCGACATTTTTTTTTACCCGTATCTGAAACTCGTCAACATTAACATATATTTCCAACAGTGAACAAATTGCATACATTGCTTACATCCAACTTTGAGACATGAGATGGTTATACAAATATATAAATTTACATAAATTTAATTTAATTAAAGTAAATATAACAAACAATTCTAATCAATATCACAGATAAAAAGATAGGTCAACATTCGTGTATGGATAGACGACTTACTGCCATACTAGTACTCAAAAGGCTATCTGTAACATTTGAAATTAAAATCCTCCTTTCATTCATAAGAGTTATGAAGCACATGAGATCATCCCCGGGTTTTTGGTGGGGTTCGGGTTGCTCAGTCTTTAGTTTTCTATGTTTTGTTTTGTGTATTGTTGTTTGTCTTTGTTCTGTTTCTTATTTTACCATGGCGTTGTCAGTTTATTTTCGACTATGAGTTTGAATGTCCCTTTGGTAACTTTCGTCTCTCTTTTATAAGAATTACAAAGACTGCTTTCATTTATACCTTAATAATCTTACATGTAAATTTTTGTTAGAGAAAAATCACTTTCTTGTTATATATGTATCTTGAATCTTATTTTTGAATAATGGAAACAAATAAAACACATAGTCTTCTTTCGATCCTAAATGTACGTCTCTTGTGACAACATTAACAGCAACAATTTAAGAAATAATTAAAGAATAACTGTAAAAAGCAGCTTCATAAGATATATCTTCTACTAAGCATCGGAACTTTTTACATAAACTAGCTGATCTCCATCTTCATCATCTGAATTAAAACTAACAGTTCACACGTTAAAAAAAAACTGGAACGAGTAATGAAGGAGAGTTCACCGGTTACTTTCCAACTAACAGTTCAGGCATTGTTTATATGTATCCTCTTTTCTGATCATCTCGTCTTTGTTCATACTAGGTGGTTAACATCGTGTGTAAAACATAATCTCTTTGGAATACCTGAACCAAGACACCACACTAAGATATGTTTTACTGATGTTACTCTTTTCCCACTGTCAACGATCTTGTTCTAGAAATATATTTCCTGCTATATTCATATATATTTTATATACCAAAATATAACCATTCGATTTCTGATTATATAAGATTTGTTTTAACAATATTTTAGATGCCTATTATTAAACTGTACTGCTATCACTTTGAACCCCATACTTCGAATGAGTCTCTTCTTTGGAATTCTTGAAAAAAGATATTCCAGAAAATTTTTCTTTCATCTTCCGTGGAGAATGCTGAAATCAAATTAAATAAGAAAAATTGTTAGTTAGTTTTCGACAAAATAAATTCCGATTTAACGGTGAATGGGATGGGGGAGGAAACAAACAATAGTTAGCAGCAACAAAATCAAAATTAGATGCATCCAAATTGTTTTTCTTGATTTGTTAGTGAAAAAAGTTCAGTAGACAAAAGGACCAACTTTATCTTAATTTAAGTTGATTTATAAAAATTAAAAGACAACATTCATTACGTATATTTAAAAACTAAAATCGGCTGAGGAACTCAGCAAATAAAACATTTAAGGACACTTAGTGGTATTCATCAAGTGAGAAAGTAAAGATATACATTTTTAATTAATTTTGTGCTTTAGAAGCTTTATGTAACTTCATAAGGTACGTTCAAATCCCGATGGTTGGAAATTAAAGTAATAACACAATAAAAAGATTACTTAAAGGTAAAAAAGACCAAAATGGAACTTCAAACACAAGTCAATAAATTCTTAGATCAAATTTGCTCTTAAAAATCTTCTTGCTTTTTCCAGGGACATAATATATTAGTACAATAGTCCCAGCTTTTTTTAATTATAACTTGATTTTGTTCATTACTTATTTTCGTTAATTTTTTCATATACTAACGTCTGAAAATAAATCAAAACTTAAATTCATACCTCAATCAGCCATATGCCCGATCTCGTGTTAGGATGTGTCCGTGCATAAAATATCCAAGCACCACATAAGATCAAAATTACTACCAAAACAACAACGAGTGGTACAACAACAGCAGTTTTCGATTTAGAATCTGAAAAGAAATTGTATTATGTAAGTAGTAAAGTGTTTCATTGTATCCGTTCATCTTAGTCCTTCTTTGTTTTCAGTGGTAAGATTTTCTTCCATCCACCTGGGCAAATAAGCAATAAATATTTTTTTATTCAATCAATCAGCAAGTAGTCAATGTAAAATGTAAAGAAGACGTCGGGGTTTTCTTGAATATTCTATGTAATTGAAAAATTAAAATAGAAAGTTTATAGCCTTTATGTTAAAGCGTCCTTTTAGAATCAATTCAAGAACAAAACAAAAAGAATAATCTTTTAAAAAAAAGTACCACATTCAATACCAAACAATTAAAAATTATGAAAGGCACACAGTGAAAAATGACAGAAAGCCATTATTTATTATCTTCGATTCAATAGATATTGAGTTGGTGGTAATATTGCCATTTTAATGAAGTAAATGTTTAAATATGAAATCTCTTTTGTAAAATCTCACCTTTCTTTGAGCGAACTGCATCACTTCCTACTGTAGCCTATATCAAGAAATCGAAACAATGCAGAGGCAAAATTATAGCGAACAAAAATCAAGTATATTTGTTAAGAAATAATGTTTTTTATATATTTCAATAGATCAAATTAAGTTCTAAATTTACAACCTCTTTAAACATTATACAAGTTTTATGTTTAATGTGTAAAGCTTCCAGGATATCGCAGCTTTTCGTGTTTAACAGGGAATCATGAAGATATAAAGAATACAAAATAAACAAACAACCATCAATAAAAACGGAGCAAACATGACCTTGAAAGTCAGAAAATTGAAACACATCAAACATGCTGACCTCACAATGAAGTTCAATATTTACAAATTATTGAAACAGCAATTGGTACCAAAATGTCCCCCCCCCCATCCTGTATCTTTGGCTTACATATTTAGAGGCAAATTAGACAAACAACAACTCATTGATCCTTATATCTGAAAACCGCTTTTTTGGTTTAGATTCATAAAGTAAAGTTAAAGGATAATACTGGATTCTCTTCATTCTTCCTAAAAGCTTTTGTGTGAAGTTTGTCTCATATGAATAAAAGAACAAGTCGACAAGAAAAGGAGCACTTTTGATTCCCATAGGATTTTCGATTGTTTGCTAAAATATGCGTCATCAAATCGTAAACACTATGTTGTCAATAGAACATCAAGCTTCTTAATGCTTTTTTGACTTTTTGTTTGAATTAGAGTGTTTTTTATTACAAAGTACTCCCGATTGTGACATTTTGACTTTATAACTATTTTGATTTGAGCGTCACTGATGAGTCTTATGTAGACGAAACGCGCGTCTGGCGTATTAAATTATAATCCTGGTACCTTTGATAACTATTTGACTGAGTGTTATTTCCCATGGCGGTTGATGCATGCCTAGCAGGAGACGCTTACCCTGTTGACGCACCAGATCTCGTTCCTTTTGGAGTTCATGAGAGTTTTTGTTTGTTATCCTTGATTTATAACTTCCTAATCGATCTACGAGATTTGAACATCGGTAAACTACTGTCGCCTTCATTTATATTATTGCAGGAGGAAAGAGACTTATATTGAATGTTCTCAACAGGTCTTCATATTTTTTCAGTATCCACCTCTTATTCTCACCACCACTAGAGTAGGTAGTTTCACAGTAACTCTGATTGCTGATAATATTGATATTAATTGTTTGGAACGAAGTTTCGTGAAGCACTTCGCAGACCTATAAATATAACGTTGTATATAAGGACACTTGCGTAATTTCGGTATCCAGTTCAGTGAAAGAAGATTCAGTTCTTCGTCTTTGGTTGAAATTCCGATGAACATAAAACTGACCTATGATTGTTCAGAATTTTCTCTTTTAATATCAATACATATTTCCGCAGCATATCAAGCAGTTTATGCATTGTGATTAACACAAAACAGATGTTGATCTGGGCTTTATCTGTGGGGACAACAACATATTTTGCATGGAAGGAGAACAGGTGTTGAGTAATATTTGGGTCTTTGAAGATAAATGTAACTAGAGTTTTTCATAGACCAATTCAGTTAAATTCTAATTTGTATCAACTATCTCAAAGCCTTAATCTACTCGGAATGATTATTCACGTCTTTATTTTCGAGATAACTAGTGGTCCATTGTCTAGCATAATCCTCGACTAAATCCATTTGAACTTTAAAGTTGTGTATCCAACTTTTGTACCTAGGCTCACGGTATTTCGGCCATTTGGTTTACACACTCATAAGAAGTGTTGTTCAATATTTTCAGGTCACTAATAATAACGTCGATAGCCGAATTGTATATGAATTGAGAACTAGCACCGGTGCAATCAGGTTTGAAGTTGTCGATATTGATATTCCGCAGCACATGTTTATAATGAAAAAGTTCAGTCGCAACACGTGTGGTAAAGGTATGAGATATGATAGGAACAAACTGATCTTTAATGTAAAGAGGTTTTTTTGATTGAACTGATTTGTGATAAAGGATATTGCCTAAATTGATCGCATCGAAACTTTTTTTGCAAAGGAAAGTTTTAGAAAGATTGTTTTCCTTTACATCTTTTCCAATACAAATCGACATTTTCAAATTTAAAAGTCGAGTCTTGACGAGCGTTTGGACTAATGAAAATTAAATGTATATGTCGAGAATAAAAAAATAACGCAAAAGATACGGTTGAGGAATTTGTGTATTTCATGATTTTTAGAAGATATAGAAACAAACTGTATCTTTCTGTTTCAATTAATATCTGAAAAAAGTAAGTGATCTATCTATCGGGTAGCTTTTTTCGTATCGAAATCTGAGGAGAGAAAACTTTACGTCAAAATAGAACTTTGACCAATGAAGAACTGAAATCTATCCAAAGAGAGGCGAAAGATACCAAAGGGATATGTTATCTCATAAGTTGAAACTGAAAGTTAATTATATAAAAAAATCAACCATTAGAGAAAAATATCTAAACAAGATATCGATTTAAAACGTAAAAGACATTAAAATGTCTTACTGAAGCTGCTGTGGATGAAATCTCTGTCGATGTCGACGTTGTCGGCTTTGTTGTCGTTGTAGTAATTATTGTCGTCGTAGGCTTTGCTGTTATTGCTGAAGGTTTGGTCGAAATTATAGTCGTTGGCTTAGTAGGAGTAGCTGGTGTCGTTGGTTTACTTGTGGTTGTTGTTGGTATCTTTGTTGGTATAGGGCACTGCTCGGGTGTATCAACAGCCTGTATCAATGCACGTTTCAAAATTAAATAATATGAATGAAGAAAGAAAGGAAGATTTTATGAATTAGTCAATAAGACATCAACCGAACGATATCTCGAGGCTTCATTCATTCAATGATGGCTTCAACAAACAAATTGTTGCATGCAAGATGAAATGAATGCAAATAAAAAATCGTTTGGGTCTATAACTGTTGTCGTAGGAATCATGTTTGAAAGGCAGAATGTCGACATGTTCACATAGACTGAGAAAAGATATAAAAGTGAGGAGGATCTACAATATGTAGAATAAATAGTTTGAATGATAAAGCCTATTTTAAGTATATTATGCAGGGATCCATGGCGACCACCAAAATATAGTAATTTATGTAATAACCTACACATCTGACATGTTTTAATAAAAAAAAGGAGATATCAAGAGTGTCAATAAAAATGCATTACTAGAAGTAAGACAGACATTATCTTTGCTCAGATGCGGAAAAAACTGGTTTTGAAATCAATTAATGGAAAACTAAATAATAAGTAACAGAAACATCAAACATACTATCATCTTTTGCCTGTTTTCAATAAATCGAACTTTTAACACTCTAGTATAGTTTCACGACGATATTAACTTGTTGACTTACCTTAGCATCACATCGATTATTCCGCCAATTTTGTCGATGCCAGTCCATTCCACTAGAACATTTTGATGCTGCATGACACCAAGAACAATTAAACCCAATGTTCAGTGATGTACAGTTTTCACATGTTGTTGCTTCATTACAGGCTAAAATATTGAAGAGAAAACCCTCATATTTAAAGAAGATGTCAATGTTTTATATCTGTAATCTTAACAAAAATTACGCCATAACTGTAAAATATAAGAGCATACATTCGAGCTCGATTAAGACAATTATTACTACATCACGGTCTTCCTTCATGAAATTTTTATATGGGGTATATGTTAACAAGACGGCAATCCCAACGACAAGAATAATCAAAAGACATCTAAAAGGCAAAATAGACAGATGCCTATATAATATCTCAAGTTCTAAAATGTCCTGTGATTATGAAAGGTGTGAATAAATCAAACCGAAACAATCAAAGCTCTGACATCAACACTAAATTATCGGAACATTAAAAGATTTTGAGATTTGACGTACGACAACAACTGACACTTAATCAAATTCATTCGAAGGCTCAGTTTTTTTTTCATACAAGATTTATGATATGCTTACAATTAGTTCTAGAAAAACAAAATACAGAAATTTACATAACTGTAATGTAATCATACGAATGGAAATATGCTTGTTGTTAATTCAATGGATTTGTTAAATGATTCAGATTTTTGAGAACGAGCCGCCTTCTCTAACCCACTAAAGTACTTTAAACCGCCCATTGTTAAACATAAGAGAACATCTATCTGTATCTATTTCATGTCGAATTCGGATTACCGAAATATGACGTCTTGAGAATATAAGGAGCGGGTTGGAAAAAATAAAGTCTAATGAAAATATCTACGGTCATCTAACGCTCAGATGTTTTGCAATTATCAACCTATTCATGCATGAAGGCAGCTCTTTATTCTTATTAAATAACTGAAAGGAACCATTGGTTGGAAAGGTTCATTTTAAGGAGCAACTAAATATAACTCCCGTTAACATGGATAGGAATCGAGTAGGATACATTTTGCATGTACCTCCCAGTTTTTGGTGCGGTTCCTGTTGGTCAGTGTTAAGTTTTCTATGTAGTGTTTGGTGGACTTAACGATCTTCTTGTCGTCTTTCGTTTTTTGCCATGGCGTTCTGAGTTTGTCTTCGACTTATTAGTTTTGAATGTACCCTTGGTATCTTCCACCCCTTTTTTCCTCCAAAAAAAATGTGCTGCTAAAATGTAAATACAAAAAGACAATTGAACTGCACATATAATTGTTTTGTAGATTTTTTGTACTTGTTGTGCATGTCAAACTGATATGCCGACAAATACCAGTATAATTTGAGGTCAATTAAACAGGAGAAACACGAAGTAAATAACATGAAAAGCTTTCAGCAGTTACATAAATTGAAATGGTTAGAAATAAAATGTTATGGAAAGGATTAAACAATGCGGAATATCAACCTGGCGAATAAATCAATTTTGTAACTTATCAGATCTTTTTAATGTTATATGATTTGTTTTGTTTAAATATAGAAATTTGATAATGCAAAACAAAGAGTAGGTAATATATTTTAATATCAAATATTATGGACTTACTCGGTAAAGGATCTAACACAACAGCAGTGTTGTTAGTAAGATATGTCACGTTTAAATTTATTAGATGGTAGCGAACTATAAATCTTGTATATCCGCCAACTAAAAAAGAAACGAAATGCTAATACATAGAATATCTTTGTTCACAGTTTTATGAGCACTCTAATGTGGATAATTTTTGTAAACATAACTCCTTTAAACAGATATAAAATGTTTGTTGTACATTTCAATGTCTATCTGTGTCTAGTATAATATGTAATAATGCATGAAACTTAAGTTAAATACATTAAAAACAAACTGTTATCTACCACAACGATCCTTATTCCTTGTGTGCATGCTTTCTTACAAAAGTCTTTATAGTCCTTTTGACTTTTATAAATGTTAGAAATTACATGATGAAGTTCAGGTTTTGAATCATGTTGTTTATTTTACTTAATACCTTAAAGCTACATTTGGGTATAGGGATTTTGGCTTTGGGCGTTCCTGATGCGGGTGGGTCCGGAGGTACTATTGCCACGACGTCAATTTTATAGTGTTTTTTTTTTCATTTTGTTTACCCTTCGTAATTTACTTAATTTATACTTTTTCGGAAACGTATATATGAATAAACTCATCATAGATACCAGGATTAAAATTTTGTACTGCAGACGCGCGTTTCGTCTACAAAAGACTAATCAGTGTCGCTCGATAAAAACAAAATAAAACACCATATATATGATAATTCTTGTCAACACAGAGGTGCTAACTACTGGGCTGAAGATACCCTCAGGGAGGAAACATCTACCAGCAGTGGCATCGACCCAATGATTGTAAATAAACTCATCATAGATACCAGAATTAAAATTTGTGTTCGCCAGACGCGCGTTTCATCTACTAAAGACTCATAGTGACGCTCGCATCAAAAATGTTAAAAAAGCCCAATAAAGTACGAAGTTGAGAGCATTGAGGACCCAAAATTCCGAAAGGTTTTGTCAAATACAGCTAACATAATCTATTCATGGGGTAGAAAATCCTTAGTATTTCGAAAAATACAAATGTAAATAGTTAATATATACTTATGACCATATCAATGATAATTCATGTCAACACAAAAGTGCTGACTACCGAGATGGTGATACCCTCGGGGAGGAAACATCCAACAGCAGCGGCATCGACCCAGTGGTTGTAAATAGACTCATCATAGATACCAGAATTAAAAATTTGTACGCTAGACACGCGTTTTGTCTACATTAGACTCATCAGTGACGGTCGAATCAAAAAAATTAAAAAGGCCAAATAAAGTACGATGTTGAAAAGCATAAATTATGTGCTACTATACTGTACTATCAATTACAAATAAAATTGAGAATGGAAATGGGGAATGTGTCAAAGAGACAACAACCCGACCATAGAGCAGACAACAGCCGAAGGCCACCAATGGGTCTTCAATGCAGCGAGAAACTCCCGCACCAAAAACTGTTTTGTTGTCGTTTTTGTCAGATTTATTTGTATGTTTGTTCGTATTTTGAAATAAGTCGGTGTATGTCTGTGATGTATGTTTTGGCTGCTGGATCCCAATAATTGTAACGTTTACCATTATGTCTATTTGGGTTGCTCATCCAATTTTGTCAATATAACAGAACTATAAACAACTGACATACAAATAGGAAGTTTAGCTAGCTATAAAACCAGGTTTTTACCTACCATTTTCTTCAGAAAATGCCCTTATGAGGTCAGGAATATAACAGTTGTTTTCCATTCGTTCCTTCGATTGATATAGTCAAGGGTTTTGGTTTGTCAAAATATTTGGACTTCCCCCATCTTAAAAATGTACCATGGAGTTCGATATTTCTATCAATACTTATTTGTATACTGTTTGAGAACTTTATTAATTAAATTGTATTTGCTTGATTAATAAATTGTTATAGACCAAAAACAAAAAGTAATTATCCTTTCAAAATCTTATTGAGATATATATAATTCCAAATAAGTTAAAATGAATTATGGTTTAAAAATTACGCACAATTTACAATTAGCATCACAATATGATGTGATTGAGATATGTACTTCTCCAACGCTAATACCTTTCGCATCAAACACAGGCATTTTTTTGTTTAGTTTCTGTCGCAAATATACATTTGTATTGAAATCTAAAATGACCAATTCAAAGATTTCGAGTATGCAAGTTTCCACTGAAACGATGCATGTCTATTTTAACAGTTAACACTTATTTTTTTTTTATATACAACATGAATATCAAAAGGGTTCATCATTTGCAAGTCACTACTCTTTGTACATGTATACTAATGAATAGTACTCCAGTTAAGTGAAAATTAAATTCTACCTTGTTCTGATGATAAAGTATACCTCCCACCACACTGTACTATATAGAGACCACATTGGGAACTTTTTAACAAATTATTTTTTTAGCAAAAAATTGTTGTTAATTCGTATAACAGATTGTGGTGTAAAATCAGCTGCTACACATACAATTTTGTTTTAAATAAATTATTTTTGACGGTTTATAGAACTGAAGATTATTCAAGAAACATGTGTTTTTGCGCACTTAAATTGGTATCATATACTTGTAATAGGACACCTGTATTGTATTCCATGTACTTACATGGTGAATCACGATCAAAGTAAAACGCATCAGAAACACCAACCTTTACTGGCCAGAGTTTACCAAATATGTCGGTATCGGGAACCTATAATGACAAAGAAGATCTTCATATAACTCTATTATTGATTGTCGTAAAATAATCGTAAATACTATATTTGTTTATATATGCATGTTATTTTTCTTGTACTTTTCTATGTTGTAAGCAGAGTTCAGCTTTCAATTCTTGGTATTTATTAAGTTTATTTCGTATTCTTTAATGTGAATGTATGTGCAATGTCCAAGAAACTTACTGATTTATATGCAAACAATATTGTCCCATTTTCAAACAGTGTCGTCTGGTAGGTATAAGGTCCTTCTGTTAAATAAAAAATGTTGTTGCCTTGAATTTTTTTCAAATAATTAAACAAATTATTAAGAAATACGTATAATACGGGCATATAAAAGAGAGGCGAAAGATACCAAAGGAACATTCAAACTCATGTCGAAAATAAACTGACAACGCCATGACTTAAAAAGAAAAAGACAAACAGACAAACAATAGCACACAAAACACAACATAGAAAACTAAATACTGTACTGTATGTATTTTTTTTCAATAAATCGTAAAGGATGGCAATATATTACTTGTGATATATAATGTTAGATAATTTTTTCTTTTTCTTTTTTTTTTTAAATATTTTTCCATTAATTGCAACTCTACTATATATTATATTTCACCACTCAATAGCCGAGACAGTGGCTAAATGTACTGAATAAACAAAACCAACAATTTAAAAATGATTTTGCCTACCTGAAAATTTAATCTAGTGCACCTATTTGATAGTAAGATTTATCTGAGCCACACAATGTGCCAACATGGATATTTTTTTTTAACTTAACACACACGTCCAAAAATAAACAAAGATTAATTAAGGACACTGAAACCCAGATTCAGTATAACTTGAATATGCATTCAATGTGAGTTTGTATTGTCTACAGCTGTAATTTTAAGGCTTCCCTTTTCTTTCCGCCTTTCCATAAATTTTCGTACATATACAAATATTTTTTATTGAGTTTAGTTTTAAATTCCTCGTCCTTGTAAACTTATCCCCTACATTCTAATTTCCAATTTCACTTGGAAATTAGAATGAAGGGGACTTTTTTCCAAATTTCACTTTCGCCGCGATATAGCCTTGTTGTGCTAATGCGGCGTAAAGCAACCAACAATCAAAACCAATTTCACTTTGTGTGCACTTAAATATATTAGTTTTTGGAAGTTATGATCACCTGTCAACAAACTTATATTACAATGCCGTTCAATTCTTTATAACTTACTCTCAGGTTGATCATTCAGTTCAACATTCCTCCATTCTACTACAAAACTGTGTCCTACAGTCAAAATAAAGAGAGAAAAAACTATAGTACAGATTTTTGTAATATTAATTTATTACGTCTATCAATTTGACTGTTGTGTGCTTAGGTTGTGTGTATTTTTTCGTTTTTCGTTTTGGCCAAGTATGTCTGTTTTTCACCGATTTATGATTATAAATTGTACTTCTGCCTACGCACAGTGAAGTCTTAAATCGACCTCATTCTAAATACCACGAATTCATTGGATAACTCTATGTTTAGATATAATACAAATGTAATTACACCGTTTCAATTCGGACATGTAGTCATATATTTGACTTTTTACATTAAAGAAATTACCATCGTCTTTGTACAAAATTTCTGAGTCATTTCCAATGGTATCAAAGTTTCCCATTAATGGAGCAATATAGTGGGTAAAAGTCCAGTCTAACTTCGGGTGGGTGAAATTACTCATATAAAGAAATCCTGAAAAAAAAAAGATATCGTCATAAAGGGAATGAAAGACTGTCTGTGAATCTATATTGGTAATAAGAAAGGGTATCTTGAAGGTACGCTAAATTGATTGTAAGATATAAATTCTGTAATCTAGTTTCGACTTCAGCAAATCTTCAATTCAACTTAATAATTGCAGTTATTTATCCAACACGAGTTTAATCATATACTACAAATAAACAAACCTAGTATATACATTAAGGAAAAATATATTCTTTCAAACTTTTTGTAAGTGTTGTTATCCTTTTTTCGATACCAAATTCAAATAGTCCGTTTTGAACACTATTGTAAACACAAAGAACAAATGATGTCATGTGACATTTTTCCTTCTAAGATTTTATTCCACAAAATATATTGTGAATGTTTATATTGAATATTACCTATAGTAAAGCCTTTTGACTATTATGACTTTCTAATTATATGCGTAAAATCTAGATTTCGTAAATACCAATTTTTTTTTACGTAAATGTTTCGTTAAATACACCTTTAAAATAATTGTTTTTTTGTAAATCTATTGACAGCCTGTCAATGGATACTAGCTGTGCATTACTACTGGTCGACTTTTTTTTTGAACTCGTATGACGCATAATTCATACAGAACCTTCTCAAATACAAAAAATAAAAGTATCTTGCAAAGTTCTTTAATTTCACTTTCAGATAAATTGATGATGTTCTGTAATTCAGTAACCCATATTTTAATGAGTGATTGCATTTTATATATTCTAGTGAACTTGAAATTAAGGATACTACCAAAAGAAGAAGGTCTGCTTCATATCTTGATCTTTTCTTTGATATTGACGCAAATGGACGACTTCAAACTAAAATCTATGACAAACATGATGATTTCAATTTTTTAATTGTCAACTTCCCATTTCTCAGCAGTAGCTCAGTAACCCTCTGTTCCTTCGTACGGCGTGTAAATATTTAAGTTACGCTCGTGCATGTTCACAATATTCATACTTAGCACGGGTGTGCTCCTTACTCAAAAACTTCGCCGATAGAGTTATGAGAAAGAACGACTGAAATCTTCGACATTACAAAAGTTTTACGGTCACGAATTGGTTGACCGATACGATTTGTCGTTTTGTCAGTGTCTCAATTCACTAGCGACATGTTTTCGCGGTCTTACATTGTGGATCTTTGGATACAAAAATGTACCAGTATAGTCATCTGATCTGTAATTTTACCAATTGTATCCTGTATTCCCGATTGTTATATTTTTACTTAGTGTGAATTCGCATGGCGAGTAATGGATGCATTGAAGAAGATGCTTACCCTGCAAAGCAAGGTATATTCATATCACACTGACATTTAATTTTCCTGAACATGGTAGAAAATCAATGGATAAGGTAAGGTAAGGTAAGGTAAACAAACATCCTAACTTATGGGAACCGCATGAGCAAAAATAGAAAGACAACTGTCTGCTGTTTTCTTAATATAGGTTGAATGAAGTTGTTTGTGGTTCGCTTAGTGTAATAAATTTTCCTTTTTGAATTGTCATGTATTATAACGAAGGCAATAAACGGTAACCTTGGACACCATTCGAGTATGTCGAAACAACAATTCTTGAAAAGTCGAAAAACGCAAAATGCGTTTGGTGGAGCAAGTTGAAAGTATGACTGTAAAGATAAAATCAAATTCTGATTACTGATTAAAATCAGTCTATTCAATGCTTACCTTGTGTGGTAATTGCAAATCTATATATTGGACGTCCATAGAAAGGAAATTTAAATGAAATCCATATAAACTGGAATGAAAAAAATAACACATTTTTCTTGGAACATTTGAAAAAAAGGATTACAGTCAGTGTGTTAAATATCTTAACACTCAAAAAAATATTTCCAGCGCACATTGACGGAGTTTTTATCACTAATATATGTTTGAAGCTTGTAAAAATACTAAGTTTCGCTGTTTTCGACGTCCCGTATTTCCTGGACTATGCTGATAGAATAACGTTTTGGCAAACTCCCTTTTTAAACATACGTAAAAATTGACAATATTTTCAACAAACCCAACAAATAAATTTACCAAAAATGAAAAATTAATGTTTAAAATGGTTACAATGGTAGTTTTATCATTCAAACACTTTCTGTAAAAGTGTTCTTCATAAGAATACGAACATGTTTTGTAACTTATCAACATAGATGAGATGGATGTGGATGATTATTGAAATCTAAAGAACATTTGTGAAAGAAGATGAGGTGAGGTGAAAATGAGGGGACAATATTGAAAAGGGAGAAGTGCTTAAAAGTAGTGAAAAGGGATGATGACGAAAGAAAAAATAAGAGAAATAAATTCAATACTTCCATCAGTGTTGCAAATGCGTCAAACTTAGTATAAGGTCGCGCATCAACATGGTTAATTATTACCGAATATTTGCGGCGATGGTCATTGGATAGTATATGTCTCGTGTGTCCTTCCAGTTCATTCCAGTAGGCACCATCTGGATCGGATATAATTTTAGATGTGTAATAATCATGGTGATCTGAAATCTGAATTTAAAAAATAGCAATATATACACTAAGTCAAGAGTTATCGACCATCCGCTTTTATAAGAAAATACCAATCACATTTTTAATATTTCAAATATATTTTCAGATTTACGAAATAAGACATGTTAAATTGCATTAACTTAAACTTAAGGCATTTAACATTGGATTGACTAAATCTTAAAATCATCACAAATAAAATGCATAATTCGTGAAGACTTACGAATTGGAAGTTGTTTGTTACAAGGGAAACAATTACATCACAAATCAGGAAATAGATGTTTATATTTACAAAATACACATTTATCAAACACGCTAAAGGAAAATTTATGAGAAGGGCGTGTTTTACCTTTGAATACGAAAATCTATCAGATAACATCCTGGTTTGTGTTTTCATGACAAAGTCGGTCAGATATTAGTATATATAATATATGTATATATTTAAATTGAATCTTTCATATGTTTCAGACTTCAAACAAAACTGAAAAAACAAACAGGAAAAATATTTTTTTGATATTTAGATATGAGCCAATGTCTTATCCAAAAAAATTTTTTTGCTTAAGATGACTTTTACAAACATAGGCGCCTTTACATTTTTATCAGTATACAATTGTAGTTTGTTTGTTACTTTTCACATAACGTCTAAACAATTCTAAGCTTTACCCATAAATGTAAACATGATACCAATTTGAGGTAATAGGAAACGTGTTCTAGAATAAACTTAATCAGCACGCTCGATAACAAAGTTTGAAGAGCAGAACGCTCCAAAATATTTATAAGCATCACTAACAAAATGGGCCTAATTTTCTATGTTTTCTATGTATTGTGTGCGATTTTGTCCCATGTACATTTACTCCATATCCTTTCATTTTCTATTCTTATCAGAACAGCTAAAATGACATAAACTTGGTTGAATGATTGGTGTATTTTCAATTACCGTTGTTGTATTGTCTGGTGGTGCTTCTTGTCTTTTTACAATATTATGTCCCTTGTAAATGACCTTGTTTGGACCAAGATTTGTTGACATAACAACGACTGTAAAGTAAAACATATTATATATATTTTCGATAGCTTTCTGTCTGATTTATTTTTAATATTCATAACGGGTATTACTTCTTTCATTTTTTTTTTTGCTCTACTTAATAAAAATGATAAACATTTGATAAACATTGTAAACTCAAAAGACTTTTAAAAAGTTTGCAAATGTTCACTCAGTTAAGCAGAAGTTAACTTATAGTGCTGATGCAAGAAGTTTGATTCTTTCAAAACACCTTTTTATTAAGCAGTTAAAATTATTCAATCTTTCATCTGATAACATTGTATCTTGTGAATATTTTAACCTATTGTAGAAGAGTAACAAAGAGGTGCAATATAACAAAAAAAATCTACATGCATAAACACAATAAATACGTTTACAAATAATAATGCAGCAATACATAAAATAAAGATTGTATAAGCATTTTTTCTACGTAAAAATAAATAAAAATAAAACCGTTCATTGAACAGTGATTTAAACTTAGAATAAGTTGATAAATAGTTCCGTTAACTGTGAAAAGATGAGAACAAGGAGATTGAACAGACAATTTCCATACCGCTTTAAATGGGGACATTATGAGAAGATCAAATCAGTTTAAAACCTAGTGGTCAGTTATTTCATGAGTTACAGCACAAGTCTTCTACGAAATGTTTCCTGTTCGAAGGGACGTTGTTCATTAGATGGTAGAGCAGAGTAAACAGTTGTTTACAACACAGGTCATCTTGGAAATAGTCCCTGTTCGAAAGGAACATTGTCCATTTTATAATTATACAATAACTTTTACTCTATTTACTTACATGCAAAACTAAAACAAAAATATAACAGAAACTCCATTGTACACCAATATCAACTTAACAAGTATGATATAAATCTTCTGTTATGAAAAAGTTTTCTATGTGATATTATCTATTTTAAAAATAAAACGCAATTGTCCTTGCAGAACACACCACTTTAACATGTTATGCTTGACGGGTATTGCGTATAATACATAAATATATTCAAATAATAATTGAAGTCTATTTTAGTACATAAAAATCAAGTTATGAAAATAACGTTCATATCATCTTACGTTTTATCATTATATTTTATAATTGTCGATGATGTCATGTAGCTTTGTTCATATGACTTTGAAATGGTTAGATTTTTAGGAGATGCTATTTAGTGTTGTCAAGAGAAAACTGACAAATACAATTCATTTAATTTTAGCAACAATAGCTATATATGTTGACATAGCCATCGCTGTAATATTATGATAAACCGTTCATTAAGGACAAGTTTTTTTTTATATAAAAAAAACCTTTCGTATGGTATAGAAGTCTACTTTTATAGAGAACTAAAAACCAAACAGGTATTTTAAATTTTTTATTCATGTCCCATACAAATAAACTACCGCGTCTTAAAAAATATTAACCCTAAGCGTTGACTAGGGTATAAACTATGGTCATTTCTGGAAATCTCCCGTTCCGGAGGCAAAACCATTGCTAAAGTTGTGCGTTCATGTGATTGTTCGGGGTGGTTAAATTTGTAGCCACGTCCAGTTGGCATGCGGACTTTAAATTTGATGCCTCAATACGGTTAGTGTAATGCAACAACCCTCTGATGGACACGTAGTTGGCCTGTTTCAAGGAGCAATTTCTGCTCCTATCAAACATACCCTTATTTCCACGGACAGTCTAAATTCCTCTCCCTTAATATAGTTCGTTCCGTCTTGTTGAACCTGCCTATTGCGTTAATTGTTAATCTGGTCTAGTCTTGAATATGCATGAGATAATGGCCACCGGACATTAAGCAGGCAACAATCAATCTCCAAACTATGTTGTCGATAAATGTAATCGAAGACAATATTACTTCACATTAATTAATTCACATTATCAAGCGTGAAACTGTTGCATGTCTATTTTTATGGTGCCTTGCATGCATAAAGCATGTTTTGTAGGGTACTTGGAAATCCGCGAAACGAAAGTCTTTTAAAAAAAACTGGTAGGCAGGTTGTCAACCCTTATTAACAAAATTGTCGAATGCGAAATTTTTTTGTTTCAAGACATACACAGAAACGTTATCAGCCATGTGCTTACCAATTCTCATCACACAACAGAAATATCGTAAAACATATTTCCTGTACTCTTCCTGTACTGGCCCATGAGCCTAAAAGCTGTATTTATTTCCACAAGACAACGTCATCAATATTGCACCTGCCAAATTAGTAACCTTATTACGGCTGAATTGATCATATCATTTAATAAAAGTTTCAATTAAACAAGGAGTGTGCTTACGGCATCTTAATGTTTATAAAGTAAATGTTACAAATTTGTATACAAAGTTAAGATATTTATAGCCGTGAAATATAATATAGTTTATTTAGTGTTGTGAAATACTAGTCACTTTGTTCACAGAGTTTAAATGCGTAAACTATAATAACTGAATTTATATGTACCCGGTGTTCTTATTTTTAATGTCTGCATGTACTTTATTAGCTACACTGTGCAAAATAAAAAATAAACTCGTCATAGATACTAGGACTAAAAGTTTGTACTCAAAAACTCGAATCAAAAAAGTTGAATAGGCCAAATAAAGTACGAAGTTGAAGAGAATAAAGGATTACCTCCATTTAAATATTGTTATAATATATTTATTCCTTCACCAAAAATACCATTTGTATCGATTCAAACTTTTTCATGGTAATCTTTTATATTTTTTTTATTTTTTCACCAAATTAAAGTTTGTCCATTAAAATGTTTCCAGTTGAAAGTTTAAGAATTTGATTTTAGAGAACATTTCGAAACCTGTATGCAATTGCAATATAATTGATGGAAATTAACTTTTTGTTCGGTATACATTATCTCTTACTTACGCGTTTGCAAACGAAAAGAGTTTATTTTTCGGTTTAAATATACACATTCTATATGTGCCTGTCCCAAGTCAGGAGCCTGTAATTGAGTGGTTGTCTTTGTTGCTGTTTCTCATCATAGGCGGATCCAGTGGGAGGCTGGGGGGCTCGGGCCCCCTTTTATGGGATACATTTGGTTGATTATATAGGGAATCACTGAAGCATGACTGGAGCCCCCCCCCCCCCCCCAAAAAAAAAAATTAGGTCAGTCAGTGGGACCCCTTATAAAAAGTTCTGGATCCGCCACTGCTCATATTTGTTTTTCGTTAGTTTGTTCTTATGTTTTACATCACTGTCCCAGGTTAGGGGGAGGGTTTGGCGCCAAAAAACTAGTTCAAACCCGCTGCATTTGTTTGCACCTGTCTTAAGTTAGGAACCTGTTTCAGTGGTTGTCGTTTGTTGATGTGGTTCTTAAGTGTTTCTCGTTTCTCTTTTTTTTTATTTAGATTAGACCTCTAGTCATTTTGGGGCCCTTTATAGCTTGTAGTTCGGTGTGAGCCAAGGCTCCGTGTTGAAGGCCGTACTTTGACCTATAATTGTTTACTTTTTACACATTGTGACTTGGATGGAGAGTTGTCTCATTGACACTCATACCACATCTTCTTATTTCTACATAAGTTGTATTACCATTAAAAGTGATTTTGAAATACAAAAAAAACAAAAGTAGATTTTTTGTATGAAATAAAAATTTTATCGTATGAAAAAAGCATAATGATACAGAACTAATAAGTTAGACAGTTGTACATTGAATATATATTCTAAATCTGATTTTATATATAAATTTTCTTTGGAATTTTTATATATAACAATAAGAATAGTCCCAAGAGCATATAGTTCAGTGGTTGTCGTTGGTTCATATCCGTCATATTTGTTTTTCGTAAATTGTTTTGTTAAAAATTATGGCGTTAGTTTTCTTAATTGAATTATTTTATATCTTATACGTACGGTATGGGTTTTTCTCATTGTTGAAAGCCACGTACGATATATAATAATTGCTTACATCGACTTCATTTCGGAACTTTGGTGGATAGTTGTCTCATTGGCAATTATATTACATCTCCTTGTTTTTATAAAGATATGTCCAGCTGTTGCAAAAAACTCAAAGTACACCCATGCATCTGTAAAACTGTAAAACTTACATATTTTAAAAATGGCATTTGTGTGGATAGTTATCTTATTGGCAATCATACCACATCTCCTTATTTTATAAGTTACACTAAAAAGTGAAATTTAAAAGAAGAAGAGTGTACTTTTTTGTATCTTACTAATTATTTCAATATCTACTCTAGAAAGTAGTGTTATATGGTTCACTGGACATCAGTAATTTACTAAATGTTGGAAATATTAATCAATATTATTGTATATACTTTCCCAAAATATTGAAGATAAATGTGACTTTTTGTCAGCATATATTTATTCACAGTTAAGGAATTTTAGAAAATTTTTATGATTAAATGGAACTAAAAGGTGTCATTTGTAGATATAAGAATTAATAAATTAGAGGGAAATTTCAATCTGAATGAAAAACAGATTATGTGTCATATGGCTTGTCCTAAAGCGAGTTTGGTAACGATTTTGTCTACAATCTGTTCTGAAAATTGTAAAAATCACCAAAACAGACGAACCAAGGTTTAACAATCTTACTATATAAATCTTTGCTACGACAAATCCCTAAGATACCGACAATGTTTTCACAACAGAAGTAAAAACAAAGCGTTATCGGATCGGATAAGCCAAGTTTTGGCACATGTTCTGTATCTAATCAGATTTTGGAAATGTTTGTGATGCCACCGCTTATCCCCTTAAAGGAATTGACTAACAGGTGAAAATCAAGTTAAACACGTAAGCTGAAGGGTCATTACATGTATACATTGTGTATCTATTAGTCTGACATGTATAATATTTTTATGTTATGCCTGTGGCAGTGGTATTGTACATGTAGTCCCGACTCTTCCTGGCAGCTAATTATATGTAAGATACACACATTTTCAATATACACGGAACAAAATGTTCCATTTAATCACCAGATGATCATCCTAGCTGAGGATTTCTGATTAAGCAAAACATGTTTGGGATGTCTGAATTCGAAAGTAACTATACAGAAATCCAAGTAACAGTTTATGTTGAAAAGCCAGAATTACTTCAGGAGGAAAAGGAGACAAATGATAAATCTGATAAAAAATGTTTATATGGTTATAGAGATTTCAAAGAACGGTATATGTCAAGTTTAGGTCAGGACATGAAAACAAAACGTACAGAAAGAAAACGATGTCCTAAAATATTGCAATCTCTATGTAAATCACCAGTTGTATGGAATATGAAAGATAGTGAAGAACTGAATGGATTAGGTCTGAACGTCAAATGTAAGACTGATCTACAAATGAGAGAAAACGAGCACGTGGAAACAAAGAGCATACCAGGCCTTTGCATATTACTCAATAATGGTAAGATACATCAATGAATTTTAACGAATGCATACTGAGCACGATAGAGAAAAAAACAGAATCAATAAAAAATATGTCTTATTAAAAATAATGCATATAACGCCATGCACGAAATACATATGTTTATTTATGTTGCACATTAACTTCTTTTAAGAATAATTATCATTTGAAAACACACAATAATGAGAACATTTTTTTAAAAGTTCAAACCGCAACAATTTCTAAATATTGGGATTCAAGTTGCACAAGTATGTTAGGATAAAAGAAAATATTGGGTATACGTAAATAAGACAGTAACCCAACGATTCAAATAACCAAATATGCGTAGAGTCGTTCATTTTAGAATCGTATATCAACTTTAAGAAAACAAAAGTGGACAAATATAATAGAAAATCTAGTTAATGTAACAATGCCTGTCGATTTTTATCATTTTCCCTACATATCCTTAGTTTTGTTTGGCGTTTTATGCTGTAAATTTCAACAGCTCGTATCTCAAAAACGAAAATGGTTACCGCAATTTTTTATTTATGGCGTAGTTTATTCACTTGTTGTCGAGTATCGAGTTGCGAGTTACGAAAGTCGAGTTGCGAGTTACGAAAGTCGAGTTGCGAGTTACGAAGGTCGATTTG